TTGCCACGGAACGGCCGTATAGGATTCTAAAATCTTTTTGCTTAACAATCCTTTATTCGAAACTAATGAATTTTATTTTGTTTTTGTACAATATTAAAAGATTTCATTTTTGTCTTCATGATCCTATAGGATTATAATGAGTTTTTCTTTTCTTCAATTTCACTTTTGTCCTGTACAATAGGATTTTTTTTATACATTATAATCCTATAAGCCTTCATGTTAAAGTATAGGAGTCTTCCAGAAGCACATCTTTGAAAGAAAAATCAAAACAGGATTCTAATACTGTTGATGGTGTCCTTGGCAATAATAGGGTATATGGATCTATTTATAAATCTGTCCAGTAAAAACAACAAAATGGTAAGTCTTAATAATCAGTCGGAATAATGAAGAATAAAAACTGTTCTTTATATTGGCATCGTCACTCCGTCATAAGTAACTAGTTCTTAACTGTCAGCAAATCTAACCCGCATTATAAAACAGTCTATATAAATAACCAAATACAATAAAATTATTTACACAAGTAATTTAATTTCTCTCAGATAATCTCATCAATATTTAAAATGTTACATTACACAAGTAATTTAATTTCTCTCAGATAATCTCATCAATATTTAAAATGTTACATTACAATAAAATTATTTACACAAGTAATTTAATTTCTCTCAGATAATCTCATCAATATTTAAAATGTTACATTATAGAAAAATAGAATTATTTTGAATGGAATTTTTACAATATGGGTGAATATCAAACTTGCAATCAGACTATAATAAGCAATGGTCAAAAATCGTATTAATAATACTGTACAAAGTTTTAGAAAAGAATTGCCAATGCTAGATACTTAAATGTATTGCTCCTTGCATGATCAAAAATAATATGCTATAAGTTAATGATTGCATTGAGATCATGCAATCTCTAAATAGATTTATTGTATAAAAATATAACTGATTAAATATTATAACAAATGTTATTTAAAGTAAATTATAAAATTCAAATCAAAGATACGTTTATTGACTATACATTGCCAATACGACACATAATTGAACTCAAGTATGTAAAAACGAAAAAAAAAACAAAAACAAACAAACAATTTTATTCATTATTTGGTACGGTATGTGCGCAATATATACTGTCTCTTATACACATCTAGATGTGTATAAGAGACAGGGTAAATAGTTCACCTTAGTAGCTACAATACCATCTTTAACTAGCGCTGCTACTCCACCACCATTTCTATTCGTTCTCCCTTCATAAAATAATGTAAAACCCTCAACACATACCGTATGTTCATTTTGCTTGTTGATCCAAGACTCGCTAAAAATCCCAATATCCACATATTTTTCCTTCAGAAAAACACTAATTTCGTCTATTTTATTTAGGGTGGACCAGGGGTTAGTTAGCATGATGACAGGAAATTGCGACGTCAAACGTTCTTTGGGTCCCTGACTGGACTTAGTCTGCCTAGGCCTACTTGGTATATGCTTTCCACTGCTAAGATTATTGACGATTTGTGAAATACTCAAACTGATTAAACATCTTTGCCTAGAAGTTGGTCCTTCCAATTTTTTAGCTATGAACTTGTTACGACAGGAAATAAGCACGGGTATTCTACGAGATGTGTATAAGAGACAGGTATACACGGGCAGCACACACACAAGACGAGCGATCAGTTTGAGTA